GGAGGGGGCCAAGTTCAGGGAAGCTGCTTTCCATCCGTGTTCCTTTGGACTGGGGCCACTCCCTCCCCAGGTGGGAACAGGAAACTGGCAAAGAGGGCCAGAGAACAGCGCCGCTTTGTCTCCTCCCGGGGCGGGGTCCTCACCAGCCGGATTTCCTGCAGCACAGATGGCTTCCTGATCCAGGCTTCTGCTTGGTCACCGACATAGCAGATGGCCACATGGTTTCCCTGGAACCAGAGACAAAGTGGAATGTTCTTAACCCAAGGTGATCCAGAAAAAGCTCTACTCAGAAAAATCTAGGAAGGGGAGCGGGAAGACTGGGAAGGCCTATGAAAAGGATCTTCAAGCTCCTCGCTGCCCAAATCAGCCCTAAGGAGGCACTGTGGTAGGTCCAGGTGCTGAGCCAGCTGCTCAACACAAGATCTTAAGGAACAGGCCCAGCCGGTGTGGCTCAGCGGTTGAACATTGAACCTATGATCCAGGAGATCTGGGTTAGGTTCCAGGTCAGGGCACATGCTGGGGTTACGGGCTTGATCCCCAATAGGGGGCTTACAGGAGGCAGCCAATCAATGACTCTCATCATTGATGTTTCTGTCTCTCTCTCCCCCTCTCCCTTCCTCTCTCTGAAACCAGTAAAGATATATTTTAAAAAACTCAAAAAACAAAAAACAAAAAAACCTCAAGTAACAGGCCTTACAGTCCTGCAAGGCGGGAATGAGTAGCCCATTCCAAGATGGGATCCCTGAAGTTAGGTAATCTGTCCAAGGTCACGCATTTGTTGGTAGTATAGCCAAAATTGGAGCATCTGACTCCAACGCTATACTTTTTCTATTATATAATAATGTCCCATTATCACTCAGAAGAATAGTAAGTTGAGGTCATAAAAGTAAGTCTGGAGTCAGTCACCTGGTTCAAAGACCATTTCTACCCCTCACTACCTACATAGCCTTGAGCAAGGGGTTTAACCTTTCCAAGCTCCATTTCCTCATCTGTACAATGAAGATTAAAAATAATAACTATCTCATAGGATTGTCTTAAAATATGTTAACTCTGTTAACTCAATGCCTGGCACAGACAGCCATAGCGGTCAGGGGAATGAAGGGAGGGTGGGAAGGGGCAGGTGGGAATTGTGCTGCAGGCTCAGCAGTCCCTGTTCATGTATAGAAGCATCAATACCCATGACTGATTCATCCCTGCTGAAGTACCAAAAATGAAACAATCCCTGCTCTAGGACTACACTGTCCAATAAGATAGCCACTAGCCCTATGACAGCAATTAAACGAAAATTACATACACTGTAAAATTCAGTTTCCCAGTCACGCTGTTTGACAGTCACGTGACGGTGGTGGCTGCCGTTGGACTGAGCCGATCTGGAATATTACCATATTCATAGAAAGCTCTATTTGACAAAGATGAGTCTCATACAGAAGCCAGCACAGGAATCACCTGGGAGTTCAGTAGGGTAAATGCACAACCTCGGGCCCTACCCCAGACCTGCCGAACCAGAACCTGCACTTCAACAAGAGCCTCTGGTGATCCATGGGCACATTAAGGTTGAGAAACACGAGTCTGGAGTCAGAAGACTACCTGGAATTTACTTGGAGATGTCCTCCCATTCAGAATGCCCTGCCAGACGGAAGGGACACACAGAGAACGGGACAGAGACACACCCTTCATTCAGCCACCTTGCTCTCGGAAGTACCTCGTAAAGCCCCACCGGGGCATGAAAGAGCCCTTCCCCCTGCTGGCTCTTGACAAAGGAGCTGAAGTCCCCAGAAACCATCACACTAGACGCGTTGGGGCTGTTTCCTCTTGACGCAGGTGTGCCTCTCCGTGGCTGTAAAATGGGACACGATCCAGGTCACACCACCTCTTCTCTGAAGCTTCCCCAATGCTGAGACATTGAAGCCCTCCATCTGCAGGGCTTCTGTCCCATCAGGCAGACACCTCTTGGAGCACTTGCCTCCCCCGATTGTATCTCATCTGCAGCGCATCCCGTGCCTTGAGCTATGTTGGGCCTACAGGAGACGTGCAACCCGTGTGTGATGGGCACATGAAACTTACTGTCTTAGTCATCAGTAGATTAGAGGCGGTAACGTGGTTTTGAAGATCACTAGATGCTTTCCAGAAAACAGCTTTAATATTTGAGCTTATATCTACAGGATAATAGAACTGGCGACCATCCGATCATTTTAAGTATTCACAAACTGAGGCCCAGGCATGATGTTCCCAGAGATATTCAGCAAGGAAACAGTAGGCCTAGAACCGGAACTCAGGGTTTGAGGCTCTCCGTTAAGTGCTCACTTTATAAATGAGTCAATCTCTGCTCTCATAAGCTCCTGGATGAGGTCCCTTCCACAAATCACCGGAAGTTAGCATGAAAGTGGACATCTGGGCCAGGTGTGGCCTTACCTTGTCCTGGGACAGAATGGTGATGTCATTATAATTGATCTGCCACCACATGTCTCTATTTTGCCTCTGCAGTTTTCCCTTCTGCATCCTTAAAATCAGCCCTATGATGACAGTTCCCAAGACAGTGATCAGGAGGGTCATCGGGAGAATCACAGCAGTCACACCTGGGGACACACAGACATACCATCACTCAGGCCTGCCTAAGAGCAGAAGTGAGAACATCCTGCCTTGGCCTGGCCCTGCCAAGCAGATGCCTCAAAGGGCACCTCGGCAACCCTTCAGACTTGTTTCTTCCAGGAATGCTTTTCTGACCTTCCCTCTGGTTCCCATGGCAACTGCACTCACTTCCCTCTCTATAGAAACTTTCACTGTAGAGAAATGATAGTGATGGCTTCTCATACCACCACCACGTTTTATTAAACATTTACTATGTGCTCTCTTTAAAGCTGTTTCTCAGGTATGATCCATCTAATTCTAGGGCTGGGCCCCTAACCATTGGGGAATAGTCCCCTGTCTAGAATCTTTCTACCACCTTAGAAATGAAGTTCCCGAGCTGCAAATCTCAGGATTTCCTTAGAGCAGAGGTTCTTAACAGGGGAGGTGGTTGGTGTTGCCTCCTTAGGGGATATTTATTAGTAATGTCTGGAGATATTTTGGGTGGTTACAACCAGAGGGTACCACTGGCATCTAATGGGTGGAGGCAGAGATGCTGCTAAGCAGCCTATAATGCACAGGACAACCCCAGCCCCCCAACAAAGATTGTCCCACGCAAAACATCAGTTGTGCTGTTGCTATTGAAAAGCCCTGAAGTGGAGAAGCCCTTCCTGTTATCTTCTCCAGGAGCCCGTACTGACCTGTAAAAGCGAGCTCACTTTCACAGAGCTCATTGTAAAATCCACAGCCAGGTCTGTCTGCAAAAAGGGAGCCATGGGGCCAAGTAATAGTGGAGAAATTCCTCATGGGTCTTTAAAAAACAGAAGACAATTAAAGGTCAGTGCCCACTCGATTTAGTCTATTTGTCTCTACCTCAGGTATAGCAAGGGCAAATAAAATACAAATGTCATTTGCAAAATGTAGGCCTTGCTCTCTTAATTCAAATGTCTGCTGACCCATCCAATTTTCCCACTTGCCTAGACTCTTCAAAACCAGCCTTCAGGTAATCTAATTCATGGAAAAGCAGTATCTTTTTACAGAGTAGAATAGCTGATTCAATCTTTTGATTTAGACCATGTCACTTCTGATTTAAAAGGCGGTGTGCCAATTCTCCAATGTTGCTGGGACTTTCGCCCGTGTTTGATATAGACAAAGCTTGTTACAGAGCGCCTTGACATTTCACAGAGCAAAACATCTCCCCCCGCGAGAGAATGCCTGTTTCTACAATCCTAAGGACCTAGTCTGCCATGGTTATTTTATTTCCTGGGGCAACCCATTTTGATACATTAAAGTTCCATAAGAATATGAGAGGAAAAAATGTCAAATCGAGTCTGGATTGGGGGTGGTGAAGGTGGAGGCAAGTGGAAATTGAATTAAGCTTTAGGTTTCCTTTCAGTCTTCTCATTGATATGTAGCTGAGAGCACAAAAACAGACTTTTTCCAGAGCTTCCTGAGTACTGGAAACCCAGGAACACCCAGGTCCTGGTGTCCACAGGACTCTCTGTTTTGGAGTCTGGCTGACAGGAGGAGGCTGTTTCCCTGACTGTGCTCCCAACCCTCTAGGGGGCGCTGTGCTCCACCACCCCTGGACCAGGGCCTCTCTCTCTGAGACCAGGCACCAGTGTTACTTTCCCTGCTGGAGCAGCAGAGGAAGCCCAGGCCCCTGTGGAGGTGCAGTTAGCGGACATTGTGCAGAATCTGAAATGGCCAAGCCAATCCCACAATCAAGGGCAAGATGGCCTGAAAGACCCAAAGACAATCTTTATGAGTTCAGAATGCACCAGACAATGTGTGGTGGATCCTAGGAGCTGGATCCCAAACTGGTCTTCCAGCAAGACCCAGCCATCCCTCACCTCCCAGATCTCTTCCTGTAACATGATCTAAACTCAAAGAAATGACCCCCAATTACCTGATTACTTTCTGAGTCCCACCAGTACCTGATTACTTTCTGAGAGCTGTCATAGTAAAGGACAGGAAGGAAGACGGACCAGTTTCTGGATTTCTGCAGAGCATAGACTGAGTAATCCATACACCTTTCTCCATGGGAGTCCACAAACACTGGGCCGGTGATTCCTGGAAAGAGAGGAGACTGCACATGGTTAAGGAAGACAGAGAGGAACTCATGACTCGGACTCATACCAGCAAAACCCCCTCCCTAGCAGCCACTGAAAGCAGTGAGATTTTTGCCATTTCAGGGAATCTAAGAGAGAGCAGGAAGAAAGCTAGTTCAGAGGTGGTGCCCTGGTGGGGCTCAAGGGCCACTTGGGGCAGGCAGGTGTGTTCTATTAGGCCTAGGCTAAAAAAAAAAAGTTTCCAACTAAAACCCCAGGTGTCTGCTTCCTTAGAACAATCAGATGTGACAAAAAGAGCACAAATGACATGGAGGCAGCTGACTGGGACTGGGGACAGTTGGCACCTCCAGATGCTAAAATCCCCCTCCCCCCACCCCAGGCCCTGGGACAGAGTTTTCAAGCTCTGTTCTCCCCTTTCCTCCTGGTTCTGGCTTGTGCTCAGGCATTGGCGTGGTGCTCAGCCCAGGCCCCAGTGTGTTCTCTGCTCTCACTTAGGATGTGGTCAACCCCATGCACAAAGACACATCCAAGAGTCTGGAGGAATAAAGTACAGCTCATCCACACCCCAAACTAGAACCGGGGGTCTGACACAGGACTTACTGCTAATTTATTCCCGCTGGGGACAGGATACAAAAGTACCATCTATGAAGCACCTATCATGTGCCCAGCACTGCGGGTTGGGTGGTGGTGATCTCACACACCTAGTCCCAGTGGACCCTGCACAGCAGGCACCATCATCCACTCCTAACAAGCAGGGCTTGGAGGCAAGACCCCTAGATAAACCGCCACCATTTATTGAGCACATATTATGTGCCAAGCCCTTGATATATTTTAATTAATCCTCAGTGTTACACAACAGTGGAGAACTTGGCCACAGAGAAAGGTGGGCGTTATTCTGAATTCCAGCTCCACCATATAGTAAATTTGTGACCTTGGCCAAGTATATCACCTTCCTACCGTGGGTTTACTCACCTGTGTTCTGTAATACAGATAGTAATAGCACTATTGCCTCATGGGTTGTGTGAGGATTAAGCGGGATAGCATGCAGAAGCTCTTGGCACCCAGCGTGCTGTAAGGTAAGCGCTCAGTAAATGCTGGCTGTTACTATTACATGTGGCAGGAGGTATTATCTCCGCCTTAGGAATGAGAAAACTGGAGTACAGGAAGGTGACAGCAGTTGGTCAGCTCCCTGGGTGATTTCAAAACAGTTCATGTCTAAGACTGTCCTCACCTTGACAAGGAAAGTGAAATGGGATTGGCCCCGTGTTTAGAGCGTGAGAGTCACGAATGAGGCCCAGGGCCCCATCAGCGAGGGATGGGATGGGAAGGGTCAAGGACCCTAGGAGGCAGATCCCATTCTCTTGACTTTTATTCTTGATGGACCAGTTTGAAACCAGCTGTGGGTGAGGCTCTGAGGGCAAGGGAATAAGATGCCCCAGAGGCCCCCTCACCTGATCCAACAGCCTTTTGGACAGAGCCAGAGAGTGTACTGTGGCAGCTGGGAGGTTTAACCTCAACCATCCCTTCCAGAAGACCAGAATCCCCACGAGAAAGAGCAATCCTATAGCTCAGTGTGAGGCAGGCCCTGGAATAAACCACAAAGCGCATGCTCAACATCCCAGAGCCCCACTGACAGGAGAGGCAGGCCAAGCTCTGTACACACACACACACACACACACACACACCAGCAATCAAGCCGCTTACCCTGCAGTGCAGTCCAGTTAACACCTTTCAGAGTGCTGACCAGCTGCCGCCCATCCCGGAAATCTCTCCCAGCCTTTACCATGAACTTCACTGTCTGAGCATAGAGCAGGGCCGAGTCGTGAAGGTAGGCTGCGTAAGGGCTCACCTTCAAGGATGGAAGCAAATGCAGTGTTTAAAAGGGCCCACGGCCTCCTGAGTCACAGCCCATGGCTCAGTTAGGAGGAATTTCTCTCCATTGTCTTAACAGAGTAACGCATGTTCTCCATCCATTCCACCAAAAGGAGAGGGCCCTCTGTGTGCCTGAGTCTGGGCTATTAAACCTGGATATCATAATCTTCACTTTTCCTCGATAGGCTCATCTGTCCAATTAGATCGCCCGATCCTTCAGGCCAGGAATAGCTCTTTAGGCCATAGGTGGGTGGGCATATGGTCTAATTGAAAGAGGGTAGATTTTGGATCCAGTGTGGCCTTTCTACTCACTGGCTATGAGATTTGGGGTAAGTTCTATAACCTCTTAGAATCTCAGCTCCCTCATTTATAAGATAAAGACACTGTCCTGGTGAGTATAAGCACTGTTAAATGAGGCAGGATAGGTATACTACCTATCGTGCTACCTGGCACATAGTAGGCCTTCAATACGTGTTCATGTCTGTTCATTTAGCCAACAAACATGCAAGTGCCCAAACTAAGTGCTAGGCACATAGAACCTGGTACAGAACTGACACTTAATAGATGACTCCCCAAGTGCTCATTGACTGATCGTCTTTCCTTGTATGTCGGTACCCACAATTGGCCACCTTGCTCTTAATGGAACACCTGTCATCAGTGGCCCATCACTGGAAGTAGCTCCAGTTCATGTGTGTATGTGTGTGTGTGTTAGGGGTGTGGGCAAAGAAGAAGGGAAATAAAAGGGAGAATATTAAAGCCAAACATACAAATATCCTCAAAAAAGGGAGGGGCAGGGACCTGCGCAGTGAGACCCTGTCTCAGACCTGCTCCTCTGCGGAGATGGAGCTGTGGAAGGGCGGCCCCCTCAGCCTTTGGTAGACTTCTTGTCGGAAGCCTTCGTCTCCAGGACCTTCTCCATAGGAGCTGAGGGCAATGAGAAGCACAGACTCGTAGATGGTAGGGAAATGCCCCCTCTTCTGGTTGGTTAATACCTCCTTCCAAAAACTGTCCTGAAATATAATGAAATCAGTATAGTCATTATGTGGGAGACATCCTGTACAACAGAAGTGCATCGAGTCAAGGTTGAATTTGAATCTCTACATGCTAGCCCTGGGAAGCACAATGACTCTGGAAGGCCTGCCTTGAAAGGTCCACATTCCCTAGCTGGCATGGAGGCAGCGAGAAGGAAGCCAGCAAACAAGCAAACAAGCAAACAAACAAAATCAAGTCCATGTGGAACATTCTCTAGGATACCACATGTTAGGACACAAAACAAGTCTAAATAAATTTAAGAAGACTGAAAGCATATCAAGCATCTTCTCTGACCACAATGGTATGAAACTAGAAAGCAATTTAAAAAAACAAACCTGAAAAACGCATAAACACATGGAGGCTGAATAAAACATATGGTTGCTAAACAATGAAGGGGTTAACAGTGAATCAAGGAAAAAATCAAAAGACACTTTGAGGCAAATGAACATGAAAACACATCAAACCCAAATACACGAATACATTCAAAATGGATTAAAGACTTAAATGTGAGACTTGAAACCATAAAACCCCTGGAAGAAAACATAGGCAGTGAACTTTCTGACATTTCTCTTAGTAATATTTTTTCTGACATATCTCATTGGGCAAGGGAAACAGAGGAAAAAATAAACAAATGGGACTAAAACATGCTTTTTTTTTAAATTTTATTCTCACTTGGGGATATGTTCAGTGGTTAGAGAGAGAGAGAGAGAGAGAGAGAAACATCGATGTGAGAGAGAAACGTTGATCAGTTGCCTCCCGAAAGCTCCCTGACCCAGGATTGAACCTGCAACCTTTTTGGTGCACAGGACAATGCTCCAAGCAACCAAGCCATCCAGCCAGGTGGGACTAAAAAGTTTTTGCACAGCAAAGGAAAACATCAACAAAATGAAAAGACAACCTACTATGTGGGAGAAGATATTTACCATTGATACATCCAATAAAGGATTAATACCCAAAATTTATAAAGAACTCTTACAACTTAGCACCAGAAAAACCCCCAAGCAATCCAATTAAAAAGTGGGAAACGGACCTGAATAGTCACTTCTCCAAAGAGGACACACAGATGGCCAACAAACACATGAAAAGATGCTCAACATCACTAATGATCAGAGAAACACAAATTAAACCCGCAATGAGATATCAGCTCGCACCTCTCGGAATGGCTGCCACCAACAAACACACGAATGGCAAGCATTGGCTGGGAAGTGGAGAAAAGGGAGCCCTCGTGCACTGTTGAGGGGAATGCAGACTGGTGCAGCCGCTCTGGGTAAATTCTTCCAGCTCAGGAGCGACGGCCTCTCAGGGCTGGGGTGAGTCTGCAGCGAGCGAATGCATGTGGCACATAGCAAGCTCTCCACACCCATCGCCTCCTACTGCAGGAGCCATTCGGGGGTCATCGACACCCACCTCTAACTGCTGTAAAATGATGAAGACAAAATCCCCTGCATGGAGTCCTAGGTTCTCTGCAGCCAGCAGAATAATTTTTGCATCCTCTGAGCTGCAGATCAAGATGATAACTATAAGAGAGAAAAAAGTCAGCCAATTGCACGTGATCATGCACATGAACATGTAACCCTCATTTTTCAATCATGAAGCATGTAACCCTTATTTTCAATTTATCAACCCTGTTCCATAACCCTGAACAAACAGTTACAAGCTAGTGCCAGGAAATAGCCAACCGTAAGGGTTAAACAATGCTTGCGTTGGCTTCTAGACATTGCTTTGCTAGGTTCCCACGCCCTCCATGCCAACCAGGGTGCAGTTTTGCCTTTAAAGTCTCCCTGTAAAGACTGTTCGGGGCTGCGAGGCTGTTTAGGGCAGGAGCGCCCTCATCGCTGCTGGCTAATAAATCTCCAAATGCTCAATTTGGTCTTTGTGTGAATTAATCTCTCGAGAACTGGGTATAACACACACACGTGCGTGTACTTTTGAAAGTCTAGCCTGAAACTGCTCCCAATGAGACGTGAACATTTTCTTCCCCTGAGCACGCGATAGGGAGGAGGAATGCCGAAACTGTCCCCAGGTGCACCACCAGCAGCACCCCAAACGGCAGCCCTGCCCTGCAGAACTGAGGTCCCCCCTGCAGCTCTCTCCCAAAATGCAAGTCAGAAAGGTTAAGTCCGCTTCTGTGCTCTCCTTTCTGTTTCATTGGCTCCCAACGACGTATCTGGCTTGTTAATCAGCAGCCACACAGGAGGAGTTGAGGGACCTAGAATCAGGAGCATTCAGACTTTCTGAGTTGGGATGGGGGAGGGGAAGGAGGCGGCCATGGTACTTTTCTTCCATTCTAACACATCAGCACGCATTCTGACGACACACAAATGACATAGTGATATTCTTTAAATAAGGTAAATTATAATCTACTTCTCTGAGTTCCGACCATGTGCCAAGCACTGTGTTAACTAAGCCCAAAATATAGCAGTGAGCAAGGCAGAAGGCCCCTGCCCTCAGGGGGCTGACAGACAGACACTATACCAGTGAATCACGGCAGACAATGGGGCTGCAGATGGCACTCCAGGCCAAGGATCAGCAAGTCCCAAAGTGCCAAGGCTGGAAAGTTTATTGAAGAACAGAAAGGAGTCAGTTACTAAACAGGCTAGAAAATAGAGCCTTATAAGCACCACAACAAAAATAATTGATATCATATGTTCGCCAGTTACTATGTCCAGACACAGTGCTAAGGGCTTCATACACACAACCTTATGCAATCCTTACTTTTCTATGAGGTAGGCAGTTGATATTATCTCCATTTTCCAGATAAGGTATCTGAGGCACAGAGAGGTTAAGGTATTTGCCCAGGAGCACACAGCTAGAAAGTATTAGAGGTTGGTTTCTCCAGAGTCCATGCTCGGAACAACAGCCCAAGTCCAAGACCCAGCCCACCTGGAAGATGCTTCCAGAGCTTATTCATTGAGTCATAACACTCTAGCATATGAGATTTCACTTTAAGGTTTTTAAATGTTTTTATAGATTTCAGAGAGAGGAAGGGAGAGGGAGAGAGAGATAGAAACATCAATGATGAGAGCGAGTCATTGATCTGCGGCCTCCTGCACACCCCTTACTGGGGATCAAGCCTGCAACCCAGGCATGTGCCCTGACCCGGAATCGAACAGTGACCTCCTGGGTCATGGGTTGATGCTCAACCACTGAGCCACAGCGGCTAGGATTTCACTTTAGATTAAAAACTATTGTTTTTGGTGGTGATGTCAACCAAGAAGGAAAATTGTTTTTATTTATCATTAATTTTATACCCTGTTTCCATCTGCTTTTTACACCCATAGAAAAAAGAAGAGTTTCTATTTGCTTTTCCTATTTGTCTCTCCAAACACAAGCAATAGAAGATTCTTTTCTACTTACCCCTGGCAGTTGCTGACATGTTCCTGAGATTCTCCTGCAGGAGGGCTGGATCGTTGTTGGTGTATCTGACCCTGGCAGTGATGGTGAAATGGGGTTTGAGCTCATTCTCTACAACCCTCCACAACTCATCCACTCCATCCCAGGAGGAAGTCCCAGAGTGACCTCCGAACATCCCAATGTGTTTCCAGCCTAGGTACTGGAGACTTTTCCGGAGCACGTCACCAAGTTCACGCATGGGTGGCACAAGTTTCACACAGGTGTCATACAAGAAGCTGTTCTTCAGTTTTTCTGTTTGTCCAACAAAGTCAAACATGGGGATATTCCACTCAGAAGCCAGCAAGCCAATAACCTTGAAAGCAACCAAAAGGGAGACTTTTCATAATTATAATTGAGTTTATGCTACACTCAAACCCCATTGTGAGGTATCGCGTACCTTTTGGACTGACTCTCTGGGTCATGCTGGAGCCTGTCTTTTGGAATATTGATAATAATGTCTTGTATCCAACATGTTTACTATGTGCAGAGCACTGTGCTATATAAGAGCTGACATATATCATCACAATTTTTACAACATTTCCATGAGGCAGGTACTATCATTACCCCCATTTTATAGATGAAAATATAGGGGCACAGAGACATAAGTTACAAACTAGCAAGTAGCAGAGCAGGATTGGAATATGGGCGATATATACCCCGAGCCCACACCCATGGCTACTATTCATTCCCTCAGTGTTTCTTTCTTACTGTGTTCCTTAATTGTTTCTCATTAGAAGCCTACTATTTACAAGAAACATTAGGAGTTTCTCTTAAAGGAGTTTGTGCTCTATTACAGGAGCTAAGACATATAAAAGTAGCTAGAGAGTTACACAGGCCATTCACTATTTACAAACAATAGATTCATAGGCGTTTAGAAAAGTGAGAAATTATTTCTGATTTTGGACTTAGGGACGTAGAGGTGAGGATGGAGGGCTGAAGAAAGGCTCTCTGTGATTTGAGCTTGACTTTAAAGAATGGGTAGGTGTTGGATAGTGGGAAATAGGTCAAACAGGGACTTTCAGAAGGGAACAAGATTTAAATTCAAACTTAAACTTAATTCTACAGCACCCACTAGTGATAGTTCTGAAGGATTTTTGAGAGTGAGAACTGTGATGCGCCTTCCCATTTAGGCTTTGCATCAACACCTAAGCGTGAGATACCCAAGGACTTCCCAAAGCCAATCCCATTAACTAAACACATACAAGACATTGGTTTCTCTCATTTTCTTGCTCTAGCTTATCACAATGTCATACTCTTTTCTCACTTACCTTTACCATCACTGAATAATTTATGACACACGCCAAAGGGAAACCTACACAAACAAATGATATTTTCCTATTGAAAACCAGGCATTAATTTTCTTAATTTTTCTGAGCCATGTGGCTCACAGCATTAAGATAATCAGTCTATCTATAACAGCGCCAAGTCCAAACAGTTAACAAGTTTGTTAGTGAACATCAGCAACTTACAGTTATTGATTTGGAAGGCTTTCTTTAAAGAGAATATTAACTGTTCTAATTACATGGTCTAATTACATCTCAAAGAAACAGTACCCAAGACCTACACCGTTATTATTTTAATAATGCCATCTTTGTCAAGAGATTATTCAAATCTGTCCCATCATCTTTAAGACCACCCCCTCCAAAGGAAACTCAGCCAGAGTTTCTAGAAGGTTGTATACCTCTGGTGCTTCTGGGCATGCTGGTCCAAACAGGGCAGAAATCTGTTCCCTCTGGACCTGGTTGGTGAAAATAGCAAGACACTCCTTGGGGTTGCAGGTTGAGTTGGTATAAGTGAACTCCCAGCTGAAGTTTCCAAGGTCCGAGTTGATCTTGTCCATGGCAACCTGGAGGCCCGCACCCAGCCTTTGCACGCTGAATGGATGGGAGATGTCCCAGGGAGCTTGGAAGCCCACGGTGAGTTTAGCAGCTTCAAGCCGAGCCACCAGCACACTGGCAAAGAGTGTTAGAGCTAGTATTGGGTGGGCATCATGGCATGCAACCACCAAACAGAGCCCAGATTGAAGTGGGGCCTCAGCACTTGTCCAGGGCGCCATGGAGAGCGCCTAACACCTGGATTACTGCAAAACTAGGAGAGGCTCAGCCTCCTGACCACTCGTGCCCGGAGCTTAAATGATAGTGCAGAGTTCCCCGAGGACCACAGCTTGGTTTCTATTCAGTGCCATTAATTAGCCGAAATCTTTTCAGAATCTGTCCTAACACATCTAGAAGCAGCAGTCTTGTTGAAAGAGGCGAGGGAGGGAATCCGCAAGGCCCTGTTAATTGATCCAGTGGACACCACTGACAAATTTTATGGTCCTGGGCAAAGCACATGACCCCAACTCACCCCCCAGCCCCGGGATCCCTCTATGCTACTTAAATAAGAATTATGGGAACCACTCAACTGTAGGCAGATGGCCTGGGTTGGAATTCTGACTTCACCATGTTAGTTGTGTGGCCTAGGACATGTTACTTCCTCTCTCTGTGCCTTCATCTCCTGATAGATAAAATGGGGGGTTAACTGTAATGGGATCTTCCCCTAAGTAATATGGTAAGGATTAAAAGAGATCATGTAAGTCCTGAAATCAGCAAAATGCCTGGGCAAAGAGGGCCACTTTTCCATGATTAGATAACTGTGATGATGATGATGATGACCATGATTGATGATGCTGATTTCATAATAATGATAATTATCACCTGCTAAATTAATCTTATAATTTTTCTAGAACAAGTGAGCTAATGGCTATGAGAGGGTTTACTCACAACTGGCACAGTCAATGTCCCTCACCCTGGCTTAGGACACCAGGGAGAAGCTTCTAATGAATGAACGCTAGCTCTCAAAGCTTGATCTAAGGACCACCTACATCAGTCTCTTCTGATGGTTAAAAATACGGATTCCAGGTGCTCTCTCTCCTCTCCCAGGAAATCAACTCGCAAAGTCATCTGAGTCTAAAGATATCCTCTATCTAATCACAGGCAAAATTCCATGGATTTTTTTTTTTTTTTTTTTTGGCTCAGATGCTTACCAGATATATGTGGCCTTGGGCAAGTCAGTTTAACCTGGATCTTAATTTTCTTAACTTCAGAATTAGTTTAACAACGCCCCTTGAAGAAGGATGTTGTAAAGTTATGGTGAAATTACACAATAACCTAGCGCAGTGCCTCAGGTTTAGAAGGAATTTGGTAAAGGAGTACTCCCAATGGGTGTATCATTGCATAAGTCATGATCTCAAAACTAGGAATCTAGGAACAATATATTATACTTTCTATGTCCCCTCTCACCCTCCCATATATAAATGTCTTAAAATGTGTACTCCAGCTCTGGGTAATTTTAGATTCTTTGTGTTTACAGATTTCCTTTCTCTGAGGATCTTTCAGGCCAGGTGACTATGTGTGTCCCTCTTTGGATCCTCAGATCTAGCACAGTTTGGGACCTTATATATGCAAATTAATATTAATCATGATAAGCATAAGTATTTTTTTGTATTCCTAAGTGCTTACACGTGAGCATGGTGGAAACCAGAAGACAATACTGATGATGTTCAGCACTGGTGAGAGTTTAAAAAACAGACATGCACTGCTGGTAGGTGTGGAAAGCCATTTTTCCAACATGCATTCCAAAGCCTTAACAATATATGGATCTTTGACTCAAAAATCCCAAATTTGGAGACTTATCCTAAAGAAATAAGATCTTACAATAAGATTTTACTACACTGGCTGTTTTAAAATCAGTCAAAAATTAGACAATTTTTTTAAATGTATATGTCTTTATTGATTTCAGAGAGGGGAAGGGAGAGAGAGAGATAGAAACATCAATGATGAGAGTCACTGATGGGCTGCCTCCTGCACGCCTCCTACTGGGGATTGAGCCCGCAACCCGGGCATGTGCCCTGACCGGGAATCGAACTGCCACCTCCTGGGTCATAGGTCGATGCTCAACCGCTGAGCCACACCAGCTGGGCAGTAAACATGTTTGTTAAAAATAAACACTACAGACTTGCATTTGTGGAGAGAAAGCTTGGGGGTTAAACTCACGCTGTCTGGATTCTCAGGTCAGAAGCATCTCAGCCTGACCTGGGCCCTCACACTTTGAGGCACTTGGCTTACCCCTGTGGGCTCTAATTATTCTCTGAGGAGTTCAGCCCCTTCCACTTACCATTTCTCTCAGAGATGGAGAGAGACAGAGATGCGGTGGTCCAGGTAATGATAATCACCTGGAAACCATTGCCATAGTAACAAGCCCACCCACTTTGTGCCAAGTGCTTCATTGGCTAGAGGGGAAATGCCTGAGGTTAGAACCAATTTAGTGGGATTTGCAGGAACTGTGGTTGCTGGAGAGAGCATGATGTTTTCCAGTCCTCGTTCCTTCTAGGAGATTCTTATGCCTACAGATTACCAGGAGCATTGCGGTTGCTGGGAAAGACAGGTTGTTTCATCCAACAATGATGCTTTAGAAGAAAAGTATGCCCAGCAGAGGTGCAGAGGTTGGCTCCCTGTGTCGGTGGGGATGGTACTTTGATTCTTAGCTACTTTACCCATCTCTGCTTCCTGAGAGACTATCACAGAGGGAGGAATCCTTCTGTCTAAATTACGGTTTCCTCAATGTTGACCAGCCTGGACCATAAACCAGATACGGGGCTAACTGTTCAGCATCTAAGGTCAAATAAGATTGGCTGTGACCAGGGTGGTGGGGTTTTCATGAAACCTCCAGCATTTTTCTAGCTGCGCCCCCCCACCCCTGCTTTCCCTTTGTATCCCTTCAATTTATAAATCAGTGGTCTGACCATGCTTAGAGAGCTGAAGGGTTAGAATGTGTGGGTTCGAACTTCTCCAGAAGGTTAAGAGGCAGGTAAAGGTGCCTGGCCATCTGGAAGAGGGAGATGGGCTGCATTGTCCTGGAGGGAAGGACAAAGGGAGAGGCACCCGTCACGCCTGCCCTCGCACACTCTCGTGAGTCTCAGGGTGTCTTCCTGGAAAAGCATCAGCCTCAGGCTTCCCTGAGTGAATTAGACTGTAGCTGAGCCTCCATTTCCATTCCTAAAAAATGGGGAAATGGCAGGGGGCAGAGACCTCTGACCTTACCAGCTTGTTGCCCTAAAATCCCAGGACTTTGGTGGCTTCATAACTAACCAAGTACTCCACGCTTGGTGGTGGCAGCCAATTTCTTTCCAGGTGTCGCTCACAGGTTCCTAAAGGGAAGGTTCCTGAAGGTCTAGCACACCTTTTACAGACCATCCCAGAAGGAAGAGCCAGTCAAAGGTGGCTATTAGCTGTCAGGGTGTGAACTTCAAACTTCCCTGTGTGTTCTCGGCTTTTGCAAACAGCTGATATAACATCACTGAATCTGAAGCTCCTGGTGAGTAAATGTTTGAGAAGGCAGAGGAAAGAGCAAATGTTGAACCTGTGCAGGAGATCGTATTTCCTAGACCCAGAACAAAGCCACTTCTTGGATCCAAAAGCCACTCCTTTAGGCTAACCGTGTGTGCAGCGCTACTCCTAGAAGGCCAGGGCCGGGGCACTGGCTTTGGCTTCCTGATGAGGACACCGGTTCTGGGTCTGAAGAGGCTTGTGCGAGAGGAGGAGCTCCTCCCTCCCGGGGCCTCTACCTCCCTCTTATATGCTCCAACCGCTTGGCATTTATCCCGAGCTGCTGAAGGAGACTCTTCCCCTGGCCTGTGATGTGTGTTCTTTCTCTCACTTGTTTCCACCAGAAATGTGTCTTGGATACCTGAGCAGTTGCTTTTGACAATCTGGGGCTTCCAACCAATATTTTCCAGTTTTCTTCTGCCTATAAATATAATCTGAAGTTGAGCAGGTTGGGCTGCTCTAAATGCCAGATTTTCCATCTGCATATTTATTTTGTGGTCTTCAATCCCAGATAAAGACCCCGCCCCCCAATACAGGGTTAGCTGGAAGAGCAAAAACTTCCAGAAAGTACTGGGGAGGTGGGGCAGCTGTGTGCTCTGGCTACTCAGTAATCAAAAATACTAAATGACTAGCAGTGATGTAATTACTTCCGAGGCCACTTTTCCGAAATTTTTAAGTTTTCTAAAATCCCCTTTGTTGTCACAGTATCTCAGACACTGAGCGAATAGAGAATGTGTCCTTGTCTTGACACATCTTTCTCTGCTGATTACATACTCTCAACCCACGAGAATGACAAGCTTCTCCGTCAGAGCCGATCAGGGACCTGAGTGGCACTAGTCTTGGTGTCTGGGTGGCTTCTCTAAAGGGAGGCAGGATGTCCCTTTTCCTGTCATTTCCCATTTCCTGTCATTTCCACTATGTTCATGTTCAACTTCCCAGGCACTCAGAGTTGCTCTCCACGCTGTCAGCGCAGGGAACTGAACCGAGGCTGCAACCCAGAGGACAATGTCCTTGCAGGCTGGGCGAGGGGGAGGGGCTGGCACGCACCCCTGAGTATCGGGGCTGCTATCTGAGGGCTCTCCCACGCCGTCCTGTGGGAAGCGGTGTAGCAGGATGGTTGGGAGAGCAGCTTTGCAATGAGACTTAGGAGACTTAAGCTGGCTTGGACAAGTGATGCACTGTCTGAACCTTGATTTCCTTGTTTGTAATTATTCTGACAAGCCCACGAGAGGATTAGGTGATGTCACAGAGGGACAGCCCATGCCATGCAGCCTGGCGTTGAACAACAGTGAAAGAGCAGCAGCAGTTTTATAGTCAAGGGACTATTGCTTCAGTCAGGCTCACACGCTCCATTGGATGAACGCTACGTAAACCCTAAAGAACAAACCATCGCCACCACAGAGACCAGGGGCTCAGGTAAAGATAGGGCTGCCTAGCCCTGGCCGGTGTGGCTCAGCGGTTGAGCATCGCCCTAGGATCCAAGAGATCTCGGGTCGATTCCCAGTCAGGCCACATGCCTAGGCTTCGGGCTCAATCCCCAGCAGGGGGCATGCAGGAGGCAGCTGATCAATGACTCATGTTTCTATCTCTCTCCATTGCTCTCTCTGAAATCAATAAAGATATTCAAAAAAAAAGACAGGGTTGCCTTCAGTTTCACCTGAAGCAGTTATAACACGCTCGCTGCTGCCAC